ATGAAAAAATTTCATAAGATTAAACAATGAAATCGACAGATGAAGGTGGTTTGCACGGTTTACACAAATGATGGCGGTTTTCATATGATCACTCCTCTATATATATATATATATATATATATATATATATATATATATATATAGTTTCAAGTTTGGAATGGTTCTTCTACCATGGCTCTTAAATTTGCAGTCTATGAATCTACTTAGAACTTAGAAATTAGAAAAGAAGGTTTATTATTTATAAGTACTTGTGAAACTGTTACATGTACTGTACACACTTCTTTATGTACATTTTTAGGGTTCAATCAAGGGATGACGCTTGGGCTCCCATTGTATATAGAGTTAGTAACCAACCATATTATAACATGGTTGGTTATATGGATATGTGTTATGATATGTATTACCCAATCCTACTTGTCCTTGATTGTAATATTGCTGCCACATCATCTGCTCTTCCATTAATAACCTCTGCTTCTTCTCCATGTCGAACATCTGCACGTATGAAGGTGGAGCTACTGTCAGTGAGGTGGCGAAAGGGTCTCCACCTGTGAAGGAACCATTGGCTGAAGAAAGTGGTGCCGGCAATGCCAGCATTGCTGGCGTTCCGGCTGACCCAAATGCAACACTACTTGCACTTCCGGTGGTTCTCATGGCTGCTTGTGTTGCTCCTTGCTGGTACATCCCGTCAAGAATCAATGTGTTGAATCCACCCGGAAGTGACGGCTGTTGTGTCGATAACTGGCTTGCAGTCTCAACAAGAGCCTTTTCCCAATCACCAGATTCGTCGTTGAAAGCTTCCCATGCCGGAGCTCCAGTTTTCCGACCATCGCCGAACAATGCCAGAGCTAGTTTATCTCCATGTTCTTCCACTGTTGGAACATCATCATATTCTAAGTTCAACAAATGACCTATGTCTTGAGTCTTTTTCTCTTCTTTTTCTTCTTCTTCTTCTTCAAATCCTTCTATTAATGGCGGTAATGCTTTAGTTGCATTCACGTCCGGCTTAGGTTCTGGTTCCATCTCCGGTTCAGGCTCAGACTCTTTGGGTTCGTAATCTATCTTCTTTTGTTGCTCCATCTCTATTTTCTCTTGGATAAACTCCTCCATTACATCTAGTTTGTTTTGTGAAAGAATGGCCACTTCTGGATAATCGGAAGTCCTTGCAATTCTGGCGTCATTGCACCAACAGTAAAAAGCATCGAGTTCGTCAAACTGCTTTGCCACTCGACAGAACATCTCGAAAAGCTTCTTGCAGTCTGCAACGTCAAGTTCTGTGAATCGATCCATCAAGACAGTCACGATCTCTTCCATCTCATAGTAAAGTCGGAAGCTTTGTTTCACAATTGGGTATAAAGCCACATCCACAAGCCTACTGTTCTTTGCAGCACCTGGTTCATCATTAGCAACGGTAACGAAATTAAACAAACCCTGAAAAGATTAAGGGAACCATAACCATTCAGCTACATGATTAAAGAAACGATGAAAGAACCTGCAGGTCGGCAAACGAGAAAGCTATCGAGAAGCTTCATCACCCGTTGGCTTCGAGTATATATTTGTTTGTTTTGCATTTCCCGGATCGGAGTTGGTCTAACGATTATAGCTCTAGGGGTAATTGGATGTTCTTCTTCATCTTCTTCATAGGAAAGCATGTCATGCCTTGCCTTCCTCTCCTGCATCCGGTGATCAAGTTGTTCACGGAGATACACAGCGTAACTCCGTATGAAAGCCGTATAATCCCACGAGTTCGCCCACGAGGTGTCTCGAAAGTTTGACAAATCCAAAATGTGGGTCCCATTCTTCGAGGCAAAGAAAATCCCTTGCTCGATCACGGGGTTGTCTACCTGGATTAGACGTTGAATCAAAATGAGTGCTTTTAAGGCCACAACCCAATCTTTCGTCTTCTTGAGCCGTTGCGCGATGATTTCAATACAAGAAGCCGCATGTTGGCGCGAATAGGACGCTAGGCTCAAGATCTCTTGAATGTGGTGCTCTTTTGCCGGGCATGCTTTGTGACGGGTTGCCTTCACAATGGCAACACGAAGGTCCGAAAAAGATGCAACTTTGGCTAGGCTTATGCTGGTTTGATCCTTGACCTCTCCAATGGCTTCCCTGAATGAACTTAATCCCATGGACAAGATTAGACTTTGTTTCTGGTGTTCTTGGTAAGTACAGATTGGAGAACCTTCCTCTTTTTACAGAGGCAGGTTCTCCAATTGGTCGTTATCTTTCTTTCTTATTATTTGATGGAGAACCTTTCTAAAAGATGAGGTTCTCTGATTGGTTTGACCTTTCTCTGTCAAGAATCAGAGAAACTCTATGGAAGAGCAGCGACGTTAATAGCTTGAATACGACTTCTATATATATATCAAATGGGCGTTTTTCATGTTTAACGTATTCTTGGTTTCATTTTTGCTATACGTATTTAGATACCATAAATCCCCCTTATATTCAGCATGATAATGTGGAGGACTGTGTGGAAAGTAATGAAACAAGTGGCATCATCTCCATTTATATCCAATTTGATGAAACGTACTCGTATATATACACAGTACGCAATCCAGCAGCTATATATTTTTCGAAATTGTAGCAAATGCCATCTTGTCCGTTTATATCGAAGCTGTTAACAATTGTAAATCCTCTGGATGGATGGATGGATGGATGGATTCGATACGCTGCATAACGTTGTTGACAACATGCATTGTGAAATAAATAGGCCGTGCTCGTTATGGTGTACATTTTTGGCAAGAAACGACTTTATCATCAATCGACAATACACATGTTGTGCATTTAAGACCAAAATGAAATTATTCATGCGTCGTTGCAAGAAGGGGCAGGGATACTTAGAAAAAATCTACAAAAATTCATGATTTCAAAAAAAAAATGGTCATAGAACACGTTTAAAAATTACAAATATATATTTACCAGGTAAGAATTACTTACCGGGTAAGATTCTCCATTCTTACTATTCTTTTTACTAGGTAAAATTCTGGATCCTTGTGATGCTCACAAGGTAAGTAACACTCGATCAGGGTCGGCCCTAGCCCATGGCTGTCATGTCGGTAGCCATGGGCAGAAGGACCCAAAGGGTCATCACCAGCCCAAGTACATATTAGCTTTAGTAGGTTGCGTTTGGACCTAGAAAAAAACGATTGTTCAAAATCAGTCGTCTCATGAAGTCTCCAGCATTCGCTTAATCTGTCTGAACGTTAATCTGTCTGCTCTCCTCTCTATTTGCTGCCCCTAAATCTTACCATTGTCTAATTCCAAATTGAATGGAAGTCTGTCTGCTTCTAAGCTCCAAGACTCACGAGTCACGAATCACAATTGTTGTCGTAATTTGTAGTATGCCCGACTAGTCGACTCCATAATCGATCTGCTCGTGCTCCTGCTCCTGCTCCTGCTCCTGTCCTAAATACAACGTGGTAACTTCATTCTTTGTGATTTATATTAGTTAGACATAAGATGCTTAGATGATATTTTGATTCTCATTATTGATATTCAATATTGGTACTATACCTACTACCTGTTTGATAAAATGCTTAAAAGAAATTGTAGTGAAACAAAGGCTGGTGGTGTACCAAAGAAGAGCTTCTACCATCTAGGTATTTGCCATATTTTGCTAGAATTAAACTAATTTATCTTCTTTTTTTTTTTTTTCTCATTCATCCTTTTTTTAACTTTTTTTCTTTCTAATTTCTATAAAGATTGATTATTCATTTATGTTCGTATTTAACACCATCCCTTCATTTTCCCTAGCTCTTTTTTCATCTCCCAATTGTTTCATTTCTTTCTAATCCAGATATCCATTCCTTTTAGATATTTCTTAATAAATCTAATAATATTAAATCTATACTATATTATAAAACATTTGATAAAAACTTTTAAAAGCCATTTTTTATGCATGAAATACTGTATATAGATGCATATTACTTAAAATTCAATATTACAAGTAAATTATGCACACGTACAACTTATTAAAGCTCTATGTTTGAATTCATGTAACTAATTGTAGATAAACATAATGAAATAGAAAATAAACATCTCATTTTTAAATATAAAAAATCTAAAATATAATTAAGATAATCGAGTTCTAATAAAATAATTAATTATTATCTTTATAAGAAAATTATATTATTAAACCAAATATAAATTACTTCGTTATTGAACCTAAATTAAATTATAATAAAAGAAAATTGAATTAAAAATTGCATAAAAAATGAGAAATTTTAAATAGTTAATTTGATACTAATATCGATATATTCTTGTCAAATTTTCATTATATCTTCAAATTTATATTTTATTAAAAAATAAAAACATAATCTTTTTTTCAAAAACACATAAGACCATATTATAACATCGACTGAGATAAAAACTAAAATAAAATATTAAAATCACGATATATTTCTCTGCATTGCGCATATTTCTCGCTGCATTGCGCGAGTACCCTTCTAGTATTAAAAATACAAGAATAAGTTAGGTTTTTTCATACTATGGTTTTTTAAAAATTATCATTTCCACCTTTTTAGTTTAGAAATTTTATAATTTTTCATGGTTATTTTTATTTTTATAATTTACAATTTATTTTCTTTTTGTTCTTTCATTTTATTTATAATTCTTTTACTGGTTTGATACATCACACTTAAAGTTAGAAATTAATTCAGAGACACAAAAATAGCAATAAATTACAAACTATTCCGATGTAAATTGTAATTTCTAAACCATAAAAACAAAAATAAAAATTATTAAAAAAATGAGAAAATCGTACTTTACTTAAAATATAATTCTGTTATAAAATTACTACTGGGTACAAAGGTATTGTGGATGGTTTTGCAGCAACAAACGCACGGGTTTGGTCCCGCCTTTTGCCCTCTGTTATTTATTTTATTTACCAGAACCATCCTCATCTCTACTCCCTCAAAATGACGTCGTTTGCTATCTCCATCAACGCCCCCACCGTATCAGCCCCGAATTTCCTCGCAAACAGAAACGGGTGACTGCGTCTTCTCACAGACGCATCAGAACCGTTCATCTCTTCATCACCGTATCTCGGCCTTCGTCTACGGAGGGCTGCGATCAGATCCGGACCCACTTCTGATTCGTGAAACGTATGCGGGTGACCATTGTGGTGACCCTTCCAGTCAACGTACGTCAGCGTCGCTGGGACGCAACCTTTTCTGTCTACCATGGACAAGAGCGTAGGGAGGTAGTTCTCCTCAGGGTAACACCTGTATATGTTTTCTTGCAGACATGGCAGTTTGAACTTGGACCAGAGACGCGTGTCACTCACCACCACCCTGGCATGCTGACGTGTCAACACCGAAAACTGAGACCCGATTCTGAATGTTTCTAATGTCACCTCCGGAAGCATGGTTGTTTCCCCACGCGCCGCCCACCTCCCTCGCGCACCCACCTCGTTTTCAAGGATTTCTATGAAGCTCTTCTTGGATTTCACCAGCATTCTATAGGTGAAATCGAAAGAGTGGAGAGGTATGCAAGAAGGGGAAACAAGGGCAAGCATGTAATTCGAAGGGTCGTGGAGGAGAGCTTGGGCGAGTAGCCGTCGGTGAGCGGCGGCTAGTGACGGGGTGTGGCGGCGCGTGGGCTTCGAGGGAATGGTGCGGTTGCTAAATACACCTTGAAAAGGGGGGTCGTATCGGAGATTGGGGTCGGCGTGTATATATATATTGTACAAATTTTCCCTTTTGGTGCGGTTGAAGTAGAGCTCCCAAAGTGGTGCCAATGGTAGTGGGCCGGCGGTGAGGAACAGAAATGCAAGCTTCTTGGGTGCTCCGATGGGTGATGGGTTCGGGTTGACACGAGACGCCAGCTCGAAAAGTGATCCGTCATCATCATCCTCTTCCATCATCAACAGTGGCGGTGGCGGTGGCGGTGGCGGTGGGGGCATTTGGTTTATGTGGATGGGTTTTGGTAATTGGGTTTTGATATTTGTGGGTGGTGGTGAAATGGGTTCATTAGGCGGATGAGTGGTGGTGGTGGTGGTGCCACCGTCGGTGGTGATGGTGAAGACGATGGCAAGGGGAAGAGTAAGAAGAAGGGCGCAAAGCAGGGAGAGGGGGCTGGGGGACATTGAGATATGAAAGCAGCAAAATACGTTTGGATTTTGGGTCCAACGATGGTTTCATTCAATCAAATTCCAAATTCCAAATTCCAAATTCCATACATAATATGGGTTTTTTAAAATAAAGTGTGTTAAAATGAGAGTTAATCAATCAAGAACCAAAAAGAAACAGGAATTTTTGGACACTCAAGTAAAAAGCGTATGGATGGTTGGGTCAAGAAAGTAGCCCCTTTTTACCCCATATTCGAAGGGTCCTGCAACTAAAATGCCTGCCTAAATATATACAATCACTTTAAACCCATATTTGAGCTTTTTCAAATCCTCTCAATTAAATTGACTCATTTGGGATTGATACGGTAAAAGTTTGATAGAAATCCTTAAATAAACAAAAATTTTGATAGAGACCCATAAATGACGATTTTGAAAGTTGATTCCTCAAAATAAAAATCAGGTGAAAATTTGTTCCATTTTGATGCAATTTTCCCTAATTTATATTATGATATGTTTTCCTAAACATATTATTGTATTTTAAAGCATGTAACTCGTAAGGGTTGTACGGTAAAAAGATTTCAAATCTAGACGCTGTCAAATCCGTTGTAAGGATAGAGGTTTACGTGCATAAGCTGACCTATATATCTATGATTTAGAAAAAGAAAAAAAAAAACACTGTATGTTACTTATTCTCTTTTTATTACAAAATTAAAAAAATATTAGGGCTTAGAGGGGTTTTTATGAAAATAAAATTCTCACATTAATCAAATGACATTTTTATATTATATCTAATAAAAATATAAAAATTATGCTAATGAATAAAAGGATTGGTTTTTAATAGTCTTTTAAGATGAAGAAAAAAAACGGTTTTGTTTAATTTGAAGGTATTTATTGTTACGATATTAATTAATTGCTAGATTCATAAAATCATTTTTGTAATTCAAGATATTTATTTATTTATTAAGCAATTGATTTGAATTTGATTTAAGAAATAAATGATTTTAAGTAAAACTTACTTTTTTTTAAATAATTACATTAAATATATCCAAATACAGTAATTATAGTAATTGTAAATGATTTTAATTAATCCTTGAATGTATTCTTACAAAAACTATAGCATCCCCTAAACACAGATAATTGTTTTACCCGTTAGGATAGATGACAAGTTTATGAATATTCTAAGGGGCTGTTTACTCAAATGCTTACTCAGTAAATGATTACTTATAGGAGTCAACACTATAATTTAATTTGATGAGTAAGATTTTAGTACATCAAAACATATTGAATGCAACAATTTACTGGGTAAGCGTTTACCTGGGTAAGAGTCGTAATCTACACTTACCGGGTAAGACTCTTCATCTTTCTCATCACATTTACGCGGTAAGATTCTTGGCCCTTGTCATGTTCATCCGATAAGGAATTTTATTTGGTAAGCACTTACCAAATAAGCGTTTAGTAAACGGCCCCTAAGTCTATTAGATCCTATGTTCAAATGGTTTATTCTAGTAACTAAAATATCTCTGTTTTTAGGTTGCTGATAAACTAATGAAGGGCAGCATCGTCAATTTGAAGTTCTTGTGGGAACATGAAAAGAGGCGTTAAAGTCAACTTACAATCGTGAATATGAAGTCCAAGTTGTTCACGAAGAGCAGAAACCATGTGACGTTTGTGGAAAAACGATTGTAATCGTTTAGTAAATAAAAGAAGGGTATCTAATAAAAATACAAACGTCATAAATCAATCATAAAATGGGACAAAAGGTATTTGATCATAGGTTGTCTTTCGTGTAAAACATGAGATTAGATGGTAACGGAACGGATACACGGGGTCTATTCTGCTGCAAGTCTTCTTTTTAAGCCATGAAATAGGGTTAAAGTATTCAATTCTAAACCGGTTTTTTCATGCAAAACATGAATTAGAGCAAAAAAACTACGAAAAGTTTAGTAGGTTTTAGAGATGGTCAAATTGGGCCTGGTCCGGAACTGGTTAGGTCTCGACAGTCCCGGACCAGTTACAATTTCAAGGTACACGGATCAGTAGGAAAAAAAATAAGTTGGTATAAATTTTAATAAAAAAAAAATTCAAGATTTTCGAATTCTATTTTTCAAAATTATAAATTTTTTTCAAGGAAAAAAAATTAAGTTTTTATAAATTTTAAAAAATAATTTTTCCAATAATTTTCCCTAATTCAATCTATATGGTTCCTATTGTAAAATAATTACAGTGAGGTCCATGTTTATTGCATTTTGTTGCACTTTAGGTCTCTTGCATTAAAAGAGTTAACTCTCATCCGTTAACTAAAGAACAATATAATCACTTTATTTAGTAATTTAAAAGTTTTTTAGAATACCAATCATATGATGCCACATGTCCTCCTCTTTTTGTCCCTTTGACCACTTGCTCATCCGCAAACCCTATCTTTCACCTTGAACCTCTGAACTTTTCTTTCTCACCCCTCTTTCTCTCACCTTGAACATGCAACTTTTCTTTCCCACCCATTTTCAAAAACCCATATGCAAAAAAAAAACAGACACATATATTAGTTGTGTATTCGTGCAATGCAGTGAAAGCTATGAATTTTAACGATTTTAAAGCTTCAGTGGTTTTGTTAGAGAAGATTTTAACTATGATATAACTTATACTTGGTCTTTACATATTAATACAATTTGAATAAATAAGAGTTATGGTTTCAATTACAGTATATCAATGAAAAAAATTGTATAACAATTTAAAATCAAATATATAGAAACGACTCCACATGTGTTTCTCAATCTCGATAGTTAACCGTGATGGTGTTTATGAGGGAGCGAGATTCAGCCAAAACTCAAGAACCGACCCAACATATACAAATCAAATACTCAAAATTTGTCAAACTTAGAAAACACCAATGAAATCGACCAGCAAAGACAAATAAGAAATTCATTTTTTAGGTAAAAAAGAACTAAAATTCAACTATTGAAAGAATATAACAAACAAAGGCATTATAAAAACACCAAATCGAATTAAGGAAAGGTAAAGGTGTCCATGGGTAACTCCTCTTGCCAATCTCCACCCTATACCAATATTAAAAATTAGTGTACTCAGGAGAATTTTATTCTATAAATAAGTAAATTTTAGTGGTTTGAAAATTAAGGGTTATTCAAGAAAATGAAAGCAGAATTCAAAAAAATTCAAATGATTTGGGTGATATGCATACAAACCCACAAATTAAAGATCTTTCCCTAATCAAAATTTCTCAAAAGTGGAATCTACATTGCTAAAGGTCATACTCACATGGTCATAATTTTTTGAGATTTGATAGTTAAGGTTGTTCAAGAAATGAACTTCAGAATTCAAGAAAACTTAAATGATTTGGATACAAACCCACAAATTAGTAGGGCTATGCAAACCCGATCGTACACGAATTACCCGACTGAAGAAAACCGAACCGAACATAACCGAAGTCAGAATCCGAAAACTACATCGCGTATGGTAGTCCCGCCCGAAACACGAAGAACACAAAAGGGCTTATCTTGAAATTTTCTACTCTAGGGATTTTCGACTCTGCCTTGCGCCCTTGCCTCTCTCAGTCTCTGCCTCTCTCGATCTCAATTTTCTCCATCTCCGGTCTCTCGACTCTCTGCCTGAAGCCCTGACTGCCTTCTCCTCTCTGTTTTTGTATGTGTTGGTTTTAGATCAATACCAGGGATAACCATGCAACCTTTGAGCAACCGCTGCGATTAAGCCATCACTAACAATCCAACAAGTCAAAAATTAAAAACCATAAATTCTATAAAATTCAATACCAAAAACACCACAAAACACCCAATAGTCATTTAGGATATAAGTTTTCAACAAAACTTACATTACTCAAGCATTTCAAAGTCCAGGTAAATTATGATGCAATTAATTTGTAGATGAGGAACATTACCTTTAGGGAGAAGACAAGTAAGGTTTTGGAAGGATCTCTATTGAATGTGATGAGGAAGGAGAAAGTAAGAATACAGACTATATGGTAAACCAACAAAAAAATTGTCGTCGGACCAAGTATTCAACGTAACTTAAAGATATTTAGCCACCTTCAGATATGAGAAAAATTTGTCATTTCCAACTATCAAATTCAGCTCAGTATAGAATCCTAAAATAGAAATTTTACCCTAGCAAAACATCCAACAAAAAGTTCTGAACAATTATTGAAATAGGCAAAGCAACGACAGGTAGAGTAGATAAGCATCGTTCCTAGTTACTGTGCGGATTCTATATTCCATCTTTTTCTTATTTATTTGAGTGAATACCTGGTAGCCAATTGATCAAGAATAAGAGCTGCACCAGGATGGATTAGATTGTGAGAATTTGAGAGAAGAACTCACTGCAACAACGGATTTGTTGTCAGGGTTCTCTTCCTTAAACTGCTTCCTGAAGCCCTCCCTTCAATTCAACAAAAACGCAACAAATTAACAACTTACAAATTTGTGTAATAAAATTAAAAAAAGATGAAAAATAAACAAGTTCTTACATGAAAACAAAGAAGGCATTGGCATGTCTCTTAGGCTTGTTCGGATCCTTAGCAGCCTTACCCTTCGGTGCAACTTTCTTCACAGTGAGCCTAAAATCAAAACATGTAAGAAGCGAAACTATCGGCAAATCGACAATTTGGGAGAAAACCTAATCAATCAAACCATACTAAATCTATTGCATAAAAAATCCATCAAACACAATAAAAAACATGAAATCTGCACTTAGAAAACCTGCACTTAGAACAGGAACGGTTTTGTCTCCATCAACAGAATAAACCCCGACTCTCAAACAATCTTCATCATTGAAAAGGTTATTCGAGCTCGAGCATGATATTATTCTTCCAAGTCAAGCTGTAATAACCTACGGCTCAACTCGTTTACACCCATCCTTACTCTTGCACCCCAAAAATCTAAAACTTGAACCATGCAAATACAAGAGACAACAATGAATTGAAAAGAGAGGCATATAACAAAGGCTTTCAGATTATATTCAAATTGTGTACCATTTCAAAACAAAATCTAAACCTTCCCATCAAAAACGCCT